TGACGCAATGCAAGCGCAGACTCGCCACCTCACGTTGCAAGGTTGTGTCAACGTGATCGCGGGAAGGAAAGGGCGTGGACGGGCGTGAAAAGGGGTATTTCTGGGCGTTCATTAAGGTTCATTATCGTCGGTTGGTTATGTTGGGAAGGTGTAGGTGGGGGGGGGGTTGCGTCACCTTGAGGGGGGGGGGGGGAGGGAATTCCGCCTTCGTCGCTCTTCGTTTGTGTGCGTTCGTTTAGGTGCTAGGTTGCTCTTGTTGTGGGCGGGGGCGTGTTGAAGGCCGGGGGATTTCTAGTTAGAGATTATTATTGTTGTTGTTATGATGATAATGATGGTGATGATTATTGTTGTTGTTGGTGTTGTTATGATGATGATGATTATTGTTGTTGTTGGTGTTGTTATGATGATGATGATTATTGTTGTTGTTGGTGTTGTTATGATGATGATGATGATTATTGTTGTTGATGTTGATGGTGACGGTAATGGTGGTGATGTTGATGTTGATGGTGATGTTTTTTGTTGCTGCTGTTGCTGCTGCTGTCGCTGTAGCTAACATTATTTATTTTCTATTTGTATTATCTCTGTATTTATTTATTTTTATTTTATTTTTGAGAAGTAAGCCTGTGAAAGTGTTTCTCATATATATATCACCGATCTCAAGGCAAGCAAATACATCCATCTTTTATCTCCTCTTTCTCCGCCCCCCCCCTTTTTCTCTTTCTCTCCCTTCCCTCCCTTTCTTCCCCCTTCTCCCCTCCCTCCTTCCCTCCCTCCCTCCCTCCCTTTCCCCCTCCCTCCCTCCCTCCCTTTCCCCCTCCCTCCCTCCCTCCCTTTCCCCCTCCCTCTCTCCCTCCCTCCCTCCCTCCCTCCCTCCCTCCCTTTCCCCCTCCCTTCCTCCCTCCCTCCCTCCCATCCACTCCCCCTCCCCCTTTTTCAACCCTTTTCCAAGCGAATTTCTCCGCCGTTCCCTCCTGCCCTTGCCGACGAGGACGTGAAAGTTCGACCGCCGTGAATCGCCTCCCGAGTTCCAGGCGATGGATGGGGGGGGGGGGGGTTGCAAGGGGTTGAAAGCGTGGGGTTGTGAGTTCGATGCTTTCTGGAGAGACGTGTCTGTGCGTGTGTATGTTTTTTTTCATATATTTGTCTCTATTTATATCTATATCTGTATGTCTATCTATCTTTCTATCTATATTTCACTCTTACCTGTTTATCTATCTATCCTTCCATCTACCTATCTCTATATCTAGCTATAAACAGTAGGAAGCTAGCTAAAATATGTATATCTGATTATATTCTAAAATTAAATCCGTACAGACATATACGCGAAAAAAATAGTCAGGGCCAGGAAGTGGGTCATATGTCGTAGAAAACGAAAGTATAATAAAGTATATTTTGTCTCTAGATATGAACAGAGACAGAATAAGTAAATGCGAAGAAGAAATGAGAAATGAATAAGCAAACCTGTTAGGTAAACGATGGTACGGAACTAAAGGCAAACGTACGATTTGACGATAAGATAAAACATATTGAGATGCAAACGGCACTAACGCCCGTTAAAAAAAAACAATCGAGGGTGCACTTTTTAAAAGGGACACAGAAAACGAAATTATAAATACACTATGAATGATAATAATGATAAATACACAAACACATGAATTATATATTTTCACCCAATCGTACTTAAACAAAATCTTACAAGAGATCTGCTAGACGACGCAGACCAACGATAAGGAGGTGATAACGCTTATCAGAAGCTCACGGCTGTCATTGGACGCGAGAGATAAGACAGACAATCATCGGGCGGCGCGCTGATCTCAAGAGCTGTCGTCCTTCTGTCTGTTTTATGGTACAGGTTGATGTATACGGGGAAGGGAGGGGGATGGGAGGGGGGGGTTGGAAAGGAGTGAGAGGGGGTGGGGGTAGGGAGTGGACGAGGGTACTAAGAGCAAGAAACGAGAGGGAAAAAAGAGAGGGCGAGATAGATAGAAAGATAGGGGAGAAGTAGTAAGGGAATTGGGAGTGGAAAAGGGAGGAGCTGAGAGAGAGAGAGAGAGAGAGAGAGAGAGAGAGAGAGAGAGAGAGAGAGAGAGAGAGAGAGAGGTACAATGAGAGGTAGTAAGAAGAGAGGGAAACCAGTGCGGAAGAAAGAGGGGGAAGAAGAAGGAGGAGGAAATGAAGAGAGAGAGAGAGAGAGAGAGAGAGAGAGAGAGAGAGAGAGAGAGAGAGAAGAGAGAGAGAGAGAGAGAGAGAGAGAGAGAGAGAGAGGGGGGGGGGGGGGGAGAGAGAATGAGAGAGAGAGAGACTGCCTTATCGTCCTGTGCAATAAACTGTTTGGAATGTCTAGCATACAATATTCATCATGCAAGTAAAATTTTTATCAACTTTTTTTTTCTTTTCTTGAACTTAAAGGAGGTCAACTCGCAAATGTAGCGTCTCGGAGCATTGAATTTTGTAGCGGTCTGTGCCATTTTATTTTTTTTAAATTGTTTTAGCGTTTTCT